GTAACGCATCACTTTTCATGATTTTTAGCAAAGTTGACCAGTCTGTGATTTTCTGTGAACCTAAAACCAATCATTACAGAATTGTTACCAAATACATTCTGACATGCCAAATGTAAAATGCTCCGTAATTGCGAGGACTTCAACAGAAATAAATCATTTTCATTTGTCTTAATCAGAATTTAACAGAATTGCCTGAAAACTCTAGAGAAATAAAATGTAATGTAATATTGAGAAATTCTATGAGACGTGAGTGCAGTAGATTATACTGATCCCTGACTTCATCGCTTTCACTTTACTGATTGAGTTAAGCTTCCTATCAAAGGCATTCCTCTACTTTCATTGCTTTTTGATCCCATTCTGATTGCTATTTTCCTCCCACTTTAATCCTTTGTTAGTGTTGGTGTTATCTCTCTATCATCTATGTATTGTACAAGAATATCGTATGGTTTCTCCATTCATCCTTATTTTTGTTGTTTTCATTTGAGTTGCTCTAGACTGGTACAAATAGAGTACTACTGTATTCTAGACTGGTACAAATAGAGTACTGCTGTATTCTAGACTGGTACAAATAGAGTACTACTGTATTCTAGACTGGTACAAATAGAGTACTGCTGTATTCTAGACTGGTACAAATAGAGTACTACTGTATTCTAGACTGGTACAAATAGAGTACTACTGTATTCTAGACTGGTACAAATAGAGTACTGCTGTATTCTAGACTGGTACAAATAGAGTACTGCTGTATTCTAGACTGGTACAAATAGAGTACTGCTGTATTCTAGACTGGTACAAATAGAGTACTGCTGTATTCTAGACTGGTACAAATAGAGTACTGCTGTATTCTAGACTGGTACAAATAGAGTACTACTGTATTCTAGACTGGTACAAATAGAGTACTACTGTATTCTAGACTGGTACAAATAGAGTACTGCTGTATTCTAGACTGGTACAAATAGAGTACTGCTGTATTCTAGACTGGTACAAATAGAGTACTGCTGTATTCTAGACTGGTACAAATAGAGTACTGCTGTATTCTAGACTGGTACAAATAGAGTACTGCTGTATTCTAGACTGGTACAAATAGAGTACTGCTGTATTCTAGACTGGTACAAATAGAGTACTGCTGTATTCTAGACTGGTACAAATAGAGTACTACTGTATTCTAGACTGGTACTATATTGTACAACTGACTTACACAAGACATGAGTTGAATGTTTTGTGAACTGGCCACTGCTTTGCTTGACACACACACACACACACACACACACACACACACACACACACAGAATGATGCATGTCGTTATATGTGACATCCTTTGGTGTAGTTCTACTCTATAAAGACCTTATAAAACTCCTCGTAATGTATTCACCCACCATTCATTCATTTTTCCATTCAAATACAAGTCTGCAATTGAAAATCTGAAAATCTGCTGCATTTATTAGTGTTCCTCTTCTGTTTATAATGACTTTTGATGATTGCAATCTGTGGTAATCAGTCAATGATACAGGCTTCTTGTGAAAAGCACTCCAAAGGATTTATTGCTAATTGTTGAAAGGTATGCTTTCCTGTGTTAAGTGCGCCCTCATGTGGGTTACATGTGAAATACAGTTTGTTGTAAAAATGTGCATTGCTTGTTGGTGGATAGTTCTGTGCTTGACCAGTTTTTATTCTTTTAATGGACTAGAAATTTTGTTTTGGTTTGCAAAACTGTTAGCTACAATGTTGAAGTGGACTGAAGATTTAAAAATTTATTTAGGTTAAGCCAAAGGAAGAATGGAAAGGACTTAGCTAACTACATATATAACTGTCTCTCGTGAAAAATCCATGTATTTATTTAATACTATAGAGGAGAGAGAGCCATGATTTATGGTCAAAAATGAAATGATATTGTAATTATTTAGTATAAAACAAATGTGATATTTGGTTTTTATGTGCTTCTATTGGAGATACCCTTCTAATAGAACAACTATGGTATAATGACGACACCCCCCCCCCCCTCCCGCTCCATTATTACCTACATTGTTATTGTACACTACAAACTAAGGATAGATTTTATGCATATCTGAAAAGAAAAATTGACATCACCATTTATGTTTTAATAGCTTTGAAGATAATAATGAAAACATTTTAAATATATTTTGCTTAGATTGTTTTAATCCTTGATGTCTGGTTGGTCAACTTATAAGGTCATTAAGATTATGGGACATACCATTTTATATTGGGGGTGGGTTGATGCAACTTGGGATTTATTCTTTGTTTACTATGAATGTGTTTCTGTTTTATTATTATATTTATCTAAACTGCTCAAAGCTTGTTTTGTTTTGTCTTTTTTTATTTAGCTTCTCACACTTTCAAGAATCAATATGGTTCAGTCCTGCCAATGGTCTGTCTGCTGTCTGTCAGTTAGATTTCACTAATCTTCTTAACTTGTTTCCAAACTCCTTCCTCTAACTAAAAAATTCTCCAGCCAGAGTGGCTCCTCTCATAGATCTCTCTGTTGATATTTCACATTATTTAATCAACTGCATCTATTAATTTACATTCTTTTGTGAATCATTTGTAGAGTGCTGTGATGGAGTATATCAGTGCTGTGATGGAGTATATCAGTGATGCATGGTGGAGATCGTTGTGCCAATGCAGTTTAGTGGTACATGATGCGTGGTGTTTGCACGTACGGTAAATCGAAGACACCGACGTGTTTATGTATTTGTCTGGAGAGCTAGTGATATAGTTAACAGCAATGCACAGTATAAATCATCGGAGGCCGACATACTGATGTACTCTGACTGAAGACCTGTGATGGAGTTTAACAGCCATGCATATAGAACACATACAGTAAATCTGTAGACATGGATGTCTATGTATTTTGTCTGTCTGAAGAAGTTGACATACAGCTTATAATAATGCCAAATTGCAATGCAAGATTCTGCATGTGACAATTGCCAGCCTGTCATTGAAGTAAACATTCAATGTTGAATTGAAGGTTTTATCCATTGTTCGTCATAAAAGATGAAACTGAAACTAGCTTTTCCACCATGCAAAATGTAAAGAAATGTATTTATGCTTCATCTTAGAAACTAAAATAGCTGCCATCTTTACAATGCAATCAATGTATTTTTCTTTTATTTTTCACCACAAACCATAGTTATTAGGTCCCCTCACCCCACTCTGTTTTTCCTCCAAGAGTCACTTATCAGCCCATCAGTGGAGATTGTTTTATTTTTCACCACAAACCATAGTTAGGTCCCCTCACCCCACTCTGTTTTTCCTCCAAGAGTCACTTATCAGCCCATCAGTGGAGATTGTTTTGTTTTAACACCATCCTGTGAATGAAGGAATTAACTGTAACTTGCACTGCTTTCTCACTGCAGGAAACTGGCGCCAAACACACTGTGGTAGTTAGCTTGAACAAACAGATAAACAATCTGGCAGTGCACTCCCTGTGGTTTGTGGTGTAACTCATTTAAACTCTGCTGGCATTCCCTGGCTTGGCTATGGCTTCCATTGCTTTTCAATAAGAACAATGACTGTATTATTACTTTGCATTACACAACTAAACAAACTTGTTAATAGATGATCCAATGTTTCCTCTGTAGGTGGTGTCTTAATAAGACTCAACACTGAACTGGAGATGCTGTGGTTTTGAGTTGTGAGCAGTGCTGACCATGTTGTAGTAAAGTTTTACATATCATCTATTGATATGAATGCTGCAAAGCCAAGTTTAGCAGTTCTGAGAAACAAGTTTAGTTGACTTCGGCAGATTCTGTTACGGTATATCTTTCTCCCTATTGTGCACACAGTATCACTACCATGTTTTAAAAAATAAGTATAATAAATAAAATGATACACAAAAATTTTCGTAAGTTTGTTATATTACAAACTTAGAATCTAACATTTACTGATATTCTTCCTTCAAATGTTGGAAATTCCATATTATAATGGAACATTACCCATGCCCTCAGCTGACATTTTTGTAGGATATGCGATTTATTTTCACAAGTATTGTGACCATATTTTCACAGTAAAGTGACAGGATAAATATATGAAGGTGACAACAATGATTTGAATGTTGAGTTGCATATAGAGGTATTCTGAGTGTCTCCTTTATAGCTTCATTTAAACCATGATTGTGAATATCTATTGAATATTGTGTATCCACACAAATACACTTTTATGCTGACTGTTTTCCAATACCAATACTGATTATCATCACAGTTTTTATCACAGAATGGCTTCAACAGAGAAAAAATATCAAGAGAGGCAAAAAATTTAAATAATCACTATCTGAATAAAAGTATTTCAATATCATGGTTTGATTTGAGAGCACTCACAGGAACAAATCTCACAAAATCCATTGATATTTTAACAACCCCAGTAAAACATTCACTTACAAAATTTAAGTGAATTTTTCCTGACTTTCACAAAATTAGGCAGCTTTGTCTTATACAAAATGTAGCTTCATATCAACTATGACTACAACATTTCTATAAAATACATCAAAAACAATTATGTGCAAAGCGTCATATTAATGAATATTCAATAATTACTTTTATGTTTGTTTTTTTTTTCTTGTTTTTGTGTCTATCATTTGTCTTTGCTAGCATCAGCAGCCTATGTGTGTGAGTGTGCATACATTATGCTATTGTGTATTGAGTGACATGGCTAAGACTGAATGAATGAATGAATCGCCAGTGGATTGGATTTGTGTTTGTAAGCCTGTAAAATGCTTAGAGAGCACGTACTTTGGTCAAATGTGGAGTGCATGAATTGCTAGTGATTAAGTATCTGTCTGAGTTGGTGTATGGAGTGCAAACACCAGAGGGCAGTAGATATCAGAAACATGTGAAAGAAGATTGGTGTGACTTTCATTTGTTTAACACAAGAGGGCGAAAGACATGAGATTTCTTCTTTGAATGCTCTGTTTTTAAAAAGTTTACTGATCCAGGAATTGCCAATCAGAAATTTTTTTTATTAAGTTTATTCGTTATTTTTTATCCAGGTTTTATCTTACACGGATGGACTGCATGGAAAATGGGGCTTCCATGAAATCCGGGCTATATTCTCTAGGAGATATCTGCTACAAAATACTGCATTGGAAATATTTATGGCCAATCGATGTGAGTAATTACATTTTTTGTTTGGTTGTTTTATGCTTTTATTACATCAGATCATATTTTTATAACAACTTATGTTTTCTATGTAGCTGCCATGATGTTCAACTTTCCTGACACTGCAACTGTAAAGAAAATAGTACGTTCATTACCAAGAGTCGGAGTGGGACTAAAGTATGGAATCAGCCCAGCAAGGTTTGTCTGAATAATAGCATCATTCTTGATAATTCACTGCATTGCATGTTTTCTTAATTAGTCTGTAATTGTTCACTGTTCACTTTTTACTTTAGCCTTTAGACTAATAGGTGTTGACGTAAGGAATACATTATGTAACTTCTAATATATCTTTTCAGGAGGATGTCATTAGCAACTCCAAAACAGCTTTTCAGAGCTTCTAATATGACACAGAGATGGCAGAGAAGAGAAATAACAAACTTTGAGTATCTCATGTATCTTAATACTATAGCAGGTAGGTGGATTATTTCACTACCTCACATCATCTGTAGTTTATTTTGTTCTAGAATCATGCTTTGATAAAACAAATGATTTGAAAGTTCTTGCCCTGTGGTGGCGCTATAACACAAATTAAATTCACTGACCCTGTGTTAATTTGTAATTTTCATCTTGTCCATGTGTGTCATAATGAGCTGTATTGTGATAAAAACAAAATATTTTTAAATTGTTGCCATGTGATGGCAGTATTATCGGTACCAGAAATTCAGTCAGAATGTTTGGTGAAAACAAGCTATAATACATTACTTAAGATAAAGAAAATTAAACTGATCTCATCTTTGAGTACACTGTTATTAACAGCCCTGGCTGTATTCTTTGTTTTGCAGGAAGGACATACAATGATTTGAACCAGTATCCTGTATTTCCATGGGTTCTTACAAACTATGATAGTAATGAATTGGATCTCACATTACCAAGTAATTTTAGAGATCTATCTAAGGTATGTGCATATCATCCAGTCATGTGATCCACAGATTGTCACTTACTGTAAACCAATTCAATTTTCTTAGCAGTGAAAATTTACTGGAGTACTGAAGACACTATGTCGTAGCAAAGTTTGTCAATCCCAAACACCACTTAAACTATTACCAGTATATACATTATAGGGTTGTGTGAAAAGCTAAATGTCTTTCATATTTGGAACTGACCGAAATTGTTCCACAAATAGACATTGGACCAAAGTGTCTGGCAAGATCTTGCTGAGAGTGGGAGAGCCATAACACTCATATTCACCCCCATAGCATCTCACTCATTATCGTATTCACTGTTCCAAATCCCATGCCGACATAGGGCAGGGTAACAGTGAACCCAATCACTAAAAAGAATGGAACTCTGTTTGAGGGACAAAACAAGTCTGGTTTCTCATTCACTTTGAATGAGATTACGGCTGCTATTTGCATCTAAAGTCAATTGTAACTAGTTAACAAAATAGAAAATCCAATAGAAATGCCTCAGAAAAGGGATGCTTGTGAAATCATACATGAAGACTCATATTATCATGAAGTGCTCCCTCTACAGGTTATGATGCAATGTTTATATTGTCGGCCATATTGTGTATACTGTTGTAGGTGCATGATTCTATAATAATAATATTTTAAAATGTTTATTTTCTAGCCAATTGGAGCACTGAATCCAAGTAGAAGAGCATTTTTTCAGGAGAGATTTGAATCTTGGGACGATGATAAAATACCACCATTTCACTATGGTACACATTATTCCACTGCAGGGTTCACTCTGGCATGGCTTATAAGACTGGTAAGTTACTGCAGTAATCTTACCTCACTACTCTGTCTCTGCTCACAATCTTCAGCAATGATCATTTAATTATTTTATCACTCCACTGCAGTAGACATTATTTTATAGAGATAGCATTCACTGTGACATTTGCTGTGATATAAAGCAATACATTTCCAGTACGTGTACTGCCATCCTTCATTCCAATCCATCAATGCAATTGTTCAAACAGTTCACTAGATTTTCTAAGTATATAACAGCCTACTGTTGTCACTTACAAACAGAAACCATGCAACCATGCCACGATTGATATGTTTTGTTTTTTATTAATCCCTAGGAACCATTCACAACTTATTTCTTGAACTTACAAGGTGGTAAGTTTGATCATGCATCAAGGACATTCTCATCATTGGCAGAATCTTGGAAGAATTGTCAGAGAGATACTTCTGATGTCAAGGTACTAGTATTTATCGATGTATGTTTTCTAAAAAAAGTTGTTATTTATGTGAAAATGGCCACACCAATGGATTAACAGATAGATGCATCGCAAAAATGGAAATTGAAAAACCTGCATATATTTGCAATAAAAAAAGATATGCTCTGATTGCAATAATGTTCATTTCTCATTGCAAAATATTTCTTAGTGGGAGCCTGAAATTTGGGTTTGCATTCAGTACACATATTTTGGCACAATTAATTATAATGCATTGTACAGGTTCCAGACAAGTGATCGGAAAATTCTTATGTACCTGCTACCAGGTCGATAATTTGACTTCATTCCCGTTTTTTTTTTTAACCAGGAACTGATTCCAGAGTTTTATTACCTACCTGAAATGTTTATAAATAGCAGTGAGTATACATTTGGTGTACGTGACGATGGTAAGGTAGTGGATAATGTACAGTTACCACCCTGGGCAAAGTCACCTGAGGAATTTGTCAGAATTAATAGAATGGTGAGTTAAATACTGATATGTTTTAAAAATAAATATTGTCCCGTATTTAAAGGGTGGTAGTCGTAAAGGGTGAGATATATGGGTCTCATATAAACAAAGATGGCGTCTTTAACAGTTGCGCAGATCAACGAGTACAAACTGAGACGTTACAAAGCTTTAATTAGGTATTGTTTTGGGTGTTTAGAAAGTATCGAAGGAGTCACCGGTGGTAATTTGTGCAAGTCATTCATGCCCAGGTCAAACCTCATACTTGTGATTTCCATTAGAAGAGCACATTGGATTGTGGGAAAATCAATGTTTATTGACACAAATGTCGCACATGCCCAGCGTGACGACTACCGCCCTTTAAAAAAACAAATTTCAATTTAATAATTCAGTGTCATAAATATAAACCTTTGTGTTTTCTTTATATGCAGGCCCTGGAATCTGAGTTTGTATCGTGTCAGTTACACCAATGGGTTGATTTGGTATATGGCTATAAACAGAGAGGACCTGAGTCTGTGAGAGCAACCAATGTTTACTACTACCTAACATATGAAGGCAATGTCAATTTAGATCACATTACAGATCCTGTTACTAGGGAGGTATGTATTTCAACCATAATTGTTGTCAAGAAAAAAGTGTCAGTCTCTTGGATTGGCTCTTGGCATTGTGGGACACCAAGTAAGGCATTCCCATAGTGTTTAAAAGAAAGTTAAAAGTAATCATTGCTATTCATTCTTCTCTCTGGACACCAGGGGGTGCTGTTGCAAATAAACTTCTCTAATTTCTCAACAAATGAATCAGAAAATTTGATAACAGGGTTTTTTTTTTGGTCTCCATGACGAATTATCAAATCACCCCCAAACATGGTTTGCATTATTCAAAAGAAGTGGTAACAATACATAACCCAGATAGCTGATTTAAGAAATGTATTATTATTAATCTCATTATCTGTAAACTGCTGTCCTTAGATTAGGAAACCTATCACTTATTCTTGGTGGCAATGGCTGATATGTACAGATGTTTTTTTTTCCCATTCTGACAGGCTGTTGAAGCTCAGATTAGAA